TTTTTTTTTTTAGTCAAATGTGATGTAATAAACCCTAGAGAAAATGCTTATGGATCAGGTAATGATTAAAATGGAAATAATAATTAGGGTATAAACCAAAAAGACACACACATTTAGCAATTATTCACAGCTTTCATACTTTTGATAGAATACTCCTTTACATAACAAGTTTTCATTCATCACTTTCTTTCTAAAATTAATTCTGAGCTCAAAATAAAAATAGGATTTTGTTTCTAATATTTATGTACAATATAAAATGAATAAAATTATGGTTGATAATCTTACTAATTAGAACCATCACACAGTTCAAACAAACAGATCAGGAATCTGACAAGAGAAAGTAGTGGAATAAGAAAATATTTGCTGGACTAGAGAGGAACAAGGTAAAAAGTAGGAAGAAACTGTAGATGAAAGAAAAAAAATGTGACCACCGCAAGGAAAAGGGGTTTTGCATTAAAATGGGACAAAAACTGTAGAGATCAAGTGAAGGAAGAGTTTTTGACAGGGGTGTCAGTGTTGCAGACGTAAGGGAAATATCAAATGCAATACAGGTTTTAGATCTGCAGAAATGACTGCAGAATTAATATTGATAAGAAAATCAGAGAAAGAACTTTTTTTGTTTACATTACAGGAATGCTCATCAGCACCCTCAAGACACTGCTGTATTAGAGGATGTAAAACCCATGGGAAGGAGACTCCCCAACCTGAAGACTTTACAATCAAGATTAACAACAAAGTATATGAAAACAGTTAGTGGGGATGGAAACTAAAAATGAGGTTACAACTCTAAGAACATGTTCTCATGAAGGCTAACTCCACCAAAAAGGAAGATTTCCTAGCTACCCTAGTATTTACCAAATGGCAGTGTCTTGACATTATGAGGAAATGCCTCATTCCCTTCCCCTTGCGGAAGCAGGACAACAATGAATGCCTGCAAGGTGACTTCTACTGGGAACCCTTGGTAGCATGTGCACAAACACCTCTGAACTGTGGCAACTGTGAACCAGTTCCCATCCAGTGACATTCTTGAAATGGTTTGTGTGTGTGTCCATGCCCTTAGGGTGCAGACACGTGTTAATTGGGAGAGGCAGTTAGCCATATTAGTCTGAAGTCAGCCAGAAAGCAAGGAAGATGCAGTTAAAACAATTTAAATCAGGAACAGGCAACTATTTTGGCTTGAGGGCCACTTAACAAGTTTTGGTGAGCTGCTGAGGGCCACAAGGGTACCCCCACCTCTCAACAAGTGCTCCACCCCATGGCCACTATCTTGGGACCAGAACTACCACCCCTAACCCCCTGACCTTTGCCACCTGAAGTCCCTCCCCTTGTGCCAGAAGTATTCCTCTTTGGAGAGTGCTGCTATCTTGAAACAAGGAAAAAAAAACCAAAAACAAACCTTATACTAAAAATCAAACATCTACTATAACTAGGGGTGCACTGATAAAGACTTTCCTGGCTGATACCGACAGCCAATGATTAACCAATCATATCGACCGATGCTGATTCGATAACCAATATTTAGTAACAGTGCAAGGCATTTTAAACTACTGACATAAATAAACCTTTTTTAGGTTTGTTTTGCATTTATAACACACACGCCTCCTGCCTGCTTTGGCCCTCGACGAGGAAGGCAGCAACTGCGTTATTCCCATGCACGTCGCTCCCTCACCCATGACTCCTACTCGCAACCCTGCTCCCTGTGCAGACACCCCAGACAGGCAGGGTGGATCCTCGTGCAGACAGTGGTGCTGGGTGTGTCTGAAGCCCCCAGAGCATGTTGCTGCTTCAGCAGTGGGCCCCGCGCAGCCAAGCTCTCACGACCATCAAGAAGCTGCTTTTGCAAAGGTGCATAGTGCTCAGCGGAGGCAGAGCCTTACCCTGCCCGTACACGGCCCAACATTTCTGCAGCAGCACCAGTGCTCAGGCCACTGCTGCACGCGCAGTGTTACCATGGCAGCAGCAGAAGCCGGTAAAGGTCACTTTATCACTGAGCATGGTGTCCTATGACTGCTACCCAGCATCCCTCTCCCTGCCGCTCCTAGCCAGGATTTATAGTTTGCCATAGGCTCAGGCCAGCAGCAGGGACCGGACTACACTCACCAGGTTGCTCTGCGTACACAGCCATAATGATCAGCTACAACGACCAAAAAAAGCCAATAACTGATAAACACAAATTTCTCTTTTTATAGGTGCCGAACTGACAGTCAACTGATATACCAGCATACCCCTAACCATAACTTATTTTAATTTTATTTTAAAAAAAATCTTTGTCTTGATTTGTGTGTGTTTGCATAGTGTATCTAGAGGCAATTGCATAATAGCTCAAAATACAGTCTTACTCTTGCATACTGTGTGTAGGGAGTAAGGGGGTTTATGTGGGGGTGTTTGGCTGGGGAGTGTGCACGCAGTGTGGAGGAAGTGGGGGCTGTGGGTATGTGTGAGGTTATGGGGGGGGAGGGGGGTGGCAGCTCCTTGGAATCCCAAGAGGGTATGGTGCAGTGGAGTGTGTATAGGGGTGTGGGAGTGTGCATGGTGGCTGGCTCCTTGGAGTCCTGGGAGGGTGCAAGTCCCTGGATCTGCATGTGGTAGCACGCAGATCCCCGTGCTCACACCCCAGTCCCTGGTTGCTGGCGGCAGCAGCGTGGGCCAGCTGCACCCAGCCCCATAGTGCATGGCTGTTCGCGCTCCTACTTTCCCCCAGTGGGAGTCCATGGCCCCAGCCCAGCAGGGCCCTTACCTGCATCCAGGCTCACAGGCAAGGAGGCTGGAAACAGCCACAGGGTCACCAGAAAAAGCCTGTGCCAGGCAGAAGCTTCTTGTCTCTAGCGCCCCCCGGCCTCGAGGCTGGGGTGGGTCAGGCCATGTTGGGCTGGGTGCTTGCTTAGCAACCAGTGCCGCACCTCTTGGACGGAGGCATTGGTTTGGCCCAAGCCCAGGGCTTACAGAGGGGCCCTGTAGGCCAGATGGAGTTGCCTGGCAGGTTGCATTTGGCCTGCAGGCCATATTTTGCCCAACCCTGATTTAAATGGAGTTTTACACCTGAGGTAGATAAACACAAACCCATTAAATTGGTTTAAAGCAGCCAGGAATGACTTACAAGTGTACCTGGAAAAGTCGAGTACAATTTTGAACCAGTTTAGTTATGTGTGGACACCAAGCATTTTGTACCACAAGTCTGGTTGATTCCCCAAGCATTCCACACTGCATCGCTCCTCATCTCTGTCCCCCACTGCTACAACAGGTCACTCTGGTACAATGCCTGAATTCTACACTCCAACCCCCATCCCTTTTGTTGGCACTTTTTATCCATGGTTTCCCTTGCTGCTTAATCAATAAGTGCTACCTTTCCAACAACTAGCTGTGGCCTCACTTCCTAGTCAACCATCATGTGCCCCCACTCCAATCACTGGACACCTAAAATCATGGGTCCAAGCACTCCCCAGCCACCCCAAGTCAGGCAAATGCAGTGGTCACTTACCTCCTGGGATCCCCAGCTAGGCATGGATGCAAGTGCTCCCTCCCAGCTGCCCACTGCAAGTTGGCTTCCAATCAGTGACATTTGGGAACAGTTCAGTTACATGTATGTATACCCCAAGTTACCTTCTGGCCCCATCTTCTGGCTAACGCAAAGCTGGGAACCACAGAAGATTCAGGTGTCTGGCACACCCCAGTAGGGTTGACCTGGGCCATGCACACTCACATCACTTGCTCACCTTTGCTGCTGGCTTTTTTGGCTTTGGCTCCTCTTTGGCAGGGGCAGGTTTCTGAAAAGAAACCAGTGGGGGTTAGAAACTTGTTACCCATCACACAGCTACCGGGGAGGAAAAAAAGAGCTGGGCCTATACTTACAGCAGACAAGCGGGCAGATCGCCTCTTGGGCTGGAGAGAAAGAGACATAAAGATTGTGAGCTTCCATCACTGGATGTTTTCAAAAAGAGGCCAATGGATAAGTGCTAGCCAGGGATGACCTAAGAGCAGCTACACCTGGAGCACACTGAGAAAAGCAACAGGGGGGAGCCCAGGACCCAGTCCCTCTCCCACCAGATCATGGGGAGAATGTGAAGAGCTCTGCTGCCTAGAGCAGGCAAATATTGGAGAGGACTGTGCTCAGCAAAAGCTTGAGGCAGAACTCCACAACCAGCTTAGTTATACCAGCAACTTTAATCTTTAAGTTTATGGAAAAGATCCAGAAAGAGGAGCGCTGGCAAGCTAGCTAGAAGCTATGATGTGTGGAATTATGCTAGCCATCCCCAGTCTACAAAGCACAATGGAGGATGCTTTTTTTCCCCCCAGCTTTTGGAGTTTTCTGGTTGCCATGTGGGGTTGGTAATGAAAACCTCCACCTCCCCTTGCCTGTTGCTACAGGTGACAGCAGTTTTTTTTGTTTGTTTTTGGCTTTCCTCAAAAGCCTTGACGTTGGCTACAGCCAAGGCTGGGGGGTTTTCACTGGAGCATGCCAGTGCTCCTGCTGGGGCTGAAACACAAGAGGTTTCTAGTTAGACAGGCTTGGCTGCCCTCCCTGCCCAAGGATTATGTCAATAATCCCATAGGGGGTCAGGAACAAACTTTACTGCCTGGCCAGACTGGCCATGTCTTTGTCTACAGGGAGTGACGGCAGCAGCAGGGCACTGACAGCTCAAGTTCCCCCAGCTTTACCTGCCTTCAGCCTCCTTGGGCAGCTGGCTTTGCAGCAGGGGCTGCCTGCACCCTTTCAGGCCAGGGCTTAAACCCCTACTTAAGTGATGTGGCTGCACAGGGATGCTCCTGCCCCGAGCAGGAGCAAGCTGAGCTGGAAGAGGCAAGAGATCCCACCCTGCCCTATAAAGTGTGTGAGAGGGGAGCAGAGTCGGGACCCCCCACGCCCGGGCCCCGCACTCACCTCCTCGAAGACCTCCCCTTCCACCGCGTTCACCTGCAACCAAACATGCGTGAACGGCGTCGAGCGCATGCGCCCCCCCGCGGCGTTCTGGACTCCCCCCCCGCAGAAAGGGAGGGTTCGCGGGCGTGACGTCAAGGCGGGCCCACCCCCCGCCCCTTCCCGCCGCCGCATTCAGATTTCGAACGCGGAGCGGCGCGGCGTTCTACCAGCGGCTACAGAAGGTTCCAGACACTACCGCTGCCAGGCGGGGGCACCCCTGCTCCCCTCCCCCAATGCAGGCAGTGCTGTGCCCAGGCCCCAAGCGGCAAGGCCGGAGGCCGGCGGCCGCTCCAAGCTGGGGGGATGGGATTGCCCAGGCCGGAGCCTCCCTCCCCACGGAGGAGCCCCCACCTGTCAGCTCCCCGCTCCCGCTCCGCTGCCCCACGGCGCCCGCCCCCCACCTTTCTCTTCGGCATGGTGAGGCGTTCGCTGGGTGGCGACTGCGGCTGCGAGTACGGCTGGCTGCGCACGGAGCCCGCGCGCGCCCCGCCCCCTACCCGCGCGCCCGGTGGCGCCGCAACAGGATCCAGCCGGATTCCAGAGGGGGAGGGGCGCCGCTGCCCAGTCAAGGGCGGGCGTGACCATTGGGGCGAATTCCCCTACGCAAGGGAATGGCCATCTCCGCCCCCCTGTGGCAATGGATCTTTCCACTTGGCGCCCCTCCCAGGGGGCGGGGCTAGTCAGGTCCCCGTCCACTGCTAGGAAAGCGGGCGGCCCCTCCTGATTGGTTGGGGTTGTTTACGTGTCTCTTCCGGGGACAATGGTGGTGAGCATGGAGGGGGAAGGGAGCGCATGCGTAGTGTGGGGGACGCGTGCGACGTTCGGCGGCTGAGCAGCGGACCCGCCTCGCCCGGAGGAAGGTCGAGCCCCTGGAGGTATGGCCGAGAGCGGCGCGTGGCTGCTCGTGCTGAGCTCGGTTTTCCTGTGCAACCTCCTCAAAATCCTCCTGCCCTCCTGCTCCTCCATTGTAAGTGACGTCAGTTGTCGAGGGGGGCAGTTCCAAAGCTCGTTGGTGGGGTTGTTCGACACGGGCGGTTGTGCCCGAGCGTTCCACGCCGCGGGCGGGGGTGTCAGAGGGGACCCGGCTCTGCGCGCGAAAGTGACTTGGAATGTCCTGCTCCGCGCTGCAGCACCCCCTGGCGGGGCACCCAGCGGGTTTAAAAACCCGAAAGCTTGTGAAGAAATTTTTTTCCAACTATTTGAGTTGGTCTAATAAAAGGTATTAGATTTACCCAAAGAACTATGTCTGCCTATGCCCTTAGACCAGTGGCTCCCAACCTCAGGTTGTGACCCAAATCAGGGTTGCAGGGCTCTTCCCCTCGCTCTGCCCCTCCCACCTGCAGGGCTCTCCCAGCGCACTGTCCATGCACTTCTAGTACCCCATGATCCTAGCCCAGCCCCGGCTCTGCTGCCGTCACCAGGGATGAGCGAATCAGCAGGGGTGAGGGTCGTGACCCAGACTTAGGGTCACAGCAAAAAAAGGTTGTGAGCCACTGCCTTAGACCAACACGGCTACAACCTACACCCTGTAGGATGGAGATGGGCTTTTCTTTCTGGCTGTCAGGGACAGGACTAGGACACCAAGGCCCTCAAGCTTCAGCAGGGGAAATTTAGGCTGGAGATGAGGAGCTGTCTGAGGGCAATCAGGCATTGGAATAAGCTGCTTAGAGAAGTGCAATCTTCATCTTTGGCAGTTTTCAGCCTGTTAGACAGGTGGCCGGGATGGTTTGGTGGAGGAGAGTCCTGCCTTGATCAAGGCACTGCACTAGATGACCTTGTGAGGTCCCTTCGAGCCCCACTGCAAGGCAAGGCATTGAAACCCGCTGGCCTCAGGGACTGCCAGGTTTCTGGTGGAGAACTTTACAGCCTGCTCTTCTGGCAGACCGTTTTGAGCATTGGGCCTATACCAGCCTTCTTCCCCATTCTGACAGTCAGCTGATTGTCAGCACTGGCATGGGGTGCCACGTGTTCATTTTAGGGCATCATACAAATGAGTTGCGAAGATGTATTTTATGGACTATCTTTGTGGCTGGTTTGCCGCTTCCTGATATCATAAATCGGCTATATTGCACTGTAACTATGATGTGATTAATAGGTTAATTGCATAATAATTGAAATGTGGTGGGGGCCTTTGATACATTTAAAGGGAGACTTAGACTGTGGATTCTTTTTTAACTTAGGCAGAGGTGGTTGTTTGCTGCAGAGATGATACCCTTGTTTTTGCTCTGTTTTTACAGAGCTAGTTGTTCAAATGGTGAGGCTTTCTACAATTCTTAGTAAATCGGTGCATTGTAAGTAAAAACACAGATGACTAATGGTTGTTAGCTTTACTTTTGTCCCCTACTCTAAGTCAGTGATTCTCAGCCAGAGTGCCGTGGCACCATGGGGTGTCTTGAGATTCTTTCAAGGGTGCTGCACAATGTTAGCACTGTTAGGTCTGCAAACATGATTAAGAAGGTAAAATGAAGGGTTTCAAATAAGAATTCATAATGTTAAGACCATTCTGCCCTGTTGTGCTTTCTCTGAGTTCTTTGCAACAGAGCAGTTGCTCTGTTGTTTTTCTGTAGTCAAAAAATATGTGAAAATTAAGAGCTGAAATTTTCCAAGAGGTGCTTTGAATCTACAAAAGTTGAAACCACTGTTCTAAGTCAGTGGCTCCAAAGCTGTTTTTGCTGCGACCCTAAATCTGAGTTGTGACCCCCCGCCCCCGTTGCCAACTCACTTATGCCTGGCAGTGCCAGCAGAGCTCAGGCTGGGTTGGGATCAAGAGGGGCAGCAGTGACAAAAGCACCTTTCTTCAGGTATAGGGAGTCTCTCCTATGAAAGAAGCTAGAAGTGTGACAGGATGTCAGTGAAAATGTAAATATCCTGTCACACTGCTAGCTTCTTTCATTCCTTGGAGTCTCAGAACAGCAGAGACTCCCTGTGCCTGAAGAAAGGTACTTGTGCCCAAAAGCTTGCAAATAACTTTTTTTCCAACTACACAGTTGGGCTAATAAAAGATATTGCATCTACCTGAAGAAGCTTGCGTGCCTATGTCCTTAGACCAACACGGTTACAACCCAAAACCCTGCAAAACTGTGTGTATGCATGTGTGTGTCTGTGTATGTATATATAATAAAAATGTTACTATGGCTATACATTTGATCTCTGTCAAGAACAGAAGAGTAAGCATAAAATGTTGCGAGAAATTGGAGGCAGTGAAATCTAAAATGATAGTGGAAGGTTTTTGGCTACCCACATACCAGCTGGTCACTGAAATCTGAGCACTTCAGGCTGTTAAAGGAGCTAAGTATTTGAGAGGTATTGTGATTCAAACACTGGTTAGGAAACAGAAAGTCAAGGAGGATTAAAGGGTCATTCATTATGGCAGAATATTAATTGTAGGTACTTCTAGCTTCCATATTTAAGCGTATTAATGATTGGAAGGGTGGCGGTGAAGGGGGGGAGGGGGAGGATGGGAATCAGTAGCAAGGTAGCAAATTTGCAGATGACAAAGTTATTTAGATTGGTCTAGACCAGAGAGGACTGTGAAGCCTCAGGTACTTGTATGGGCAACATGGTAGCAAATTAATTTCAGTGTTAGTCAATACACAGTAACTTGCACTAAAGAAGAAAATGTAGCTTGTCTACATTTGAAATGATCATAAGGCATAAATTATTTGTAACTCAAAAAAATGACTAGGATTATGATCCATGTAGCTCAATAAAAACTTCTGCTCATTTTGCTCCTGTGGCATATCCCTTACATATCAGGATATCTAAGAAAAAGGATAATAAACAGAACAGGAAATTTTGTAACATCATAATATAAAAGCAATAATGCTTCCAGAATACCATGATAGGAACCTGGAAAATAGCTATATGAAGCAGTTGAGAAGACTGGGATTGTTTACTTTAGGATAGAGCCAAATAAGAGGTGACTTGAGAAAATGTATAAATTAACTATTTCATAGACATTAGGGCTGTAAGGGACCTTGGAAGATCATCGAGTCCAGCCCCCCACCCGAGGGGCAGGAAGCCAGCTGTGGTCGTAGGATCTCAGCAAGATAAGCATCCAATTTACTCTAGAAGGTGTTCACTGCAGGTGCTTGAACCACCTCCGATGGCAGGCTGTTCCAGACTTTGGGGGCTCGGACAGTAAAGAAATTCTTCCTTATGTCCAGCCTGAAACAGTCTTGCAGTAGTTTATAACCCTTCGACCTCATCATCCCTTCGGGTGCTCTGGTGAACAAACGTTCCCCCAGATACTGGTGGTCACCCCTGATAAACTTATAGGTGGCCATCAGATCACCCCTCAGCCTGTGCTTTTCCAGGATAAAGAGCCTCATAGATCTCAGCCTGTCATTGTAAGGTATGTTTTCCTGACCTCTGATCATGTGCGTGGCTCTTCTCTGGACTCTCTCAAGCTTCTCCACATCCTTTTTGAATTGTGGAGCCCAAAACTGGACGCAGTACTCCAGCTGCAGCCTCACCAAGGCTAAATACAAGGGGAGAGTGACGTCCCAGGATTTGCTTGAGAAGCATCTATGGATGCAAGCCAGCGCTTTGGTCACTTTACTAGCTGCAGCATCACATTGCAGGCTTATGTTCATCTTGTAGTAAATGATTCCTTAGTGTTATAAGGAAGGTGCCAATCTCTTGGAAAACAGGACAGATTCCAGTGTAAGGGACGGGTAGGCTATCCAAGATCTGGTCTACGGCCTCTGAACTAGCTGCTACAGGCTATTGCTGAAGATGGAATGCTAGATGTAGAATGGACTTCAGGTCTAATTCTGTATGGCAGTTCCTGCCTTCATAGGAACTCATGCTAACAAGTCTTCTGTAGGAAAAGAATGTCTCAGCAATAGGCTCTGCTCTAGAACTCCTGTATCTCAGTTGAACCAAGAAAGAAAAAACACAACAGTATCGATGACATGCTGTCAAAGTGCCTGTTCACTTAAGCTTTTTCTGAGGGGTTGGAGAAAAGGCGATTAGTTTTCTAGGAGGTTGTTGAATTGTTAGCTGATGATGTACATTTTAGAGAAAGCAAGATAGATGCTTTTTAGATGCTTAAAAAAGCTCAACATTCTGACAAAATATCTAATTGAACTTCTTTTATTTTTAGATATCCAGATTGCTACAGAAGGATGCAGAGCAGGAGTCCCAGATGAGAGCTGAAATTCAGAACATGAAGCAAGAACTCTCAACTATTAGCATGATGGATGAGTTTGCTAGATATGCCCGACTGGAAAGAAAGATTAACAAAATGACGGACAAGCTTAAAACTCATGGTAGAGTGCAATGTTTATACTTGTCCAATTTATTTGAAAAACATTTCATTTTTTCAAAAATATATTTTGACCATATTAGCTCTTACGTTTTTATTCATCCCTTTCAGTGCTCTACCTTTTCCTTTTAAGTTGTAGAGGGTTTTATTTAATTACTTTGTATTTTTCAGTTGTACATAACATCCAGGGCATTGGTAGGGGCTGGGACTTAGAAGTAAAATTATTATATAAAGACTCTCCCTGAGATGCAGTC